CAAACTATATACAGTATATATACTGGAATTTACGCAGCTATGATGCTATACTGGTAATGGCGGTGATCAGTGACTTCTAGTGGGACTGTGATGGTGTGGAGGGCAATTTGGCGCTAACTGAAGCTGGCTGGAAGATACACTGACTGACACTGACAACAATAGTGACACTAATACAGTGATCAGTGCTAATACTGTACATTATCACTGTACTAATGACAGTGGCTGGAAGGGGTTAACATCTAGGGGCAATCAAGGGGTTGTGTGCCTAGCAATGTGTAATGTTTGTAATATGTGCTACTATATGGTTGTTTTTTCTCCCTGAATGAACAGCCAGATTGCTTTCCCCTATACACAAGAGTTCTGTGTTTTGTAAACACAGAACTCTGTGTGTGATTGGACACCACTGATCATCAGACTTCAGGCAAAATCATTGGCTGAAATCAGCTGCCAGACTTGTGCTCTGTCCAACCGTAGCCCAAGTTAGCAGGGGGCACATATGCGCGCATCCCAAACTTGGAAGAAGGCCAATCATGTATATATGTGATTGTTTCTGCACCCGCCACAGTAAATGTATAGCGTTGGGGCAGCAAGTGGTTAAATGCAAAAATGTAATATATTACAGATTACCAGTCCTTAGATGCTGTAGCTGCATTCCTTTTTTCACCCATTTTTGTCTGTTGGTTCTACCAGTAACATGTTTTCCATCCTAGGAGGACAACAGAAACAAGAAAGGACTACTGGGGACCTCCCTCTTCTGCTTGTCCATAAAAAAGATGGGTGGGTTCCTGTAGTCATCAGAACACTATAACGGATAATAGTGCAGCACAAGCAAAAAGCACATAAAGTAATCATCTGAAAAGATTAAATAGCAACATTAAAAGGTATTTCTTTGAAGTTGCCAAACAGATATTGCTAAAAATACTTTCAATGGTAAATTTAACATAGCAAACACCGTGTAAGTGAAATGTGAGTATTCCTTTAACACTAAACTTTGTGAGCACCAAGTCTCTTTGCAAACCCACATATTATCTTGTATAAAAGTAGCAGTGACATCATAACTCTGCTGCACATAGCCTGAGCAGAAATGTGAGCTATGGGAGGGACCTGGCAGGCTCCACACACACTACAGCCTGCCTACACTACAGGCTGAACTACAGGAGGGGGCGGATACAAGACCAGTCACCCTGCACAAGGAGAGAGCAGCAGTGACTGGTCCTTATTACAGCAAACTCCTGCATAGAGGCAACGTTTCACACTGAATTACTGCACAGATCTTGATGAAATACACAAAGCACCAGGGGTGGACTGACCATTTGGAAACTCAGGCACAGCCCAAGGGCCCGGGGTCAGTGGAGGGTCCCATGAGATGCCCCTGGTACCATTTTCATAGGATTTTTTGAGTTTGGGCAAGGACACAGGGGCCCCATGATCCCCTATTGCCCGAGGGCCCCATGAGTTGTCAGTCCACCCCTGCAAGGCACATAAAGATTTAAGTTAGAATACACATGCCTCTTGTATTAAGACATGATTTGCTTATCCCAGAGTTCAGTTTAAAATATTATATTAAATATATGCAATGTGAACTTATATAATATTTTGATGTATTTACAAAGTAAACAAAAATGTCATCAACTTTGTTTTTATTTTGTAGATTTGCGTTTGCCAGAAATAGGTATAGAGATTTTGAGGGCAAAATATTGTAAAAGTGATACCTTTATGCAGCTGGGTAAAAAAAAAAAATGCAAGCTTTTAGAATAGGTGGCCACCGAGAGGTCTCATATTGGCAAAGCGTCTTACCATCTGCTCTATAGCTTGCGACCAAGACCTGTTTAGCTGTTAAATTTGTTATGTTTCCTTTTTCAACTCTCAGTCAACAGAAAAATGAACTCCAATACATGACAAATGGAATGCGTTTTCAAGCTATATCTTACAAATGGGTCACATTCAGAAGTACCCATAGTGCCTAGGGCCATTATTAGTCTTGGTGGCTTAATGGCCTAGAAAATATGATGACATTTTTTTTCTCCCCCATCCAAAAAAAACCGATAAAAAGGAAACTTCTGAAGTAAAAAGAAAAAAGACAAAGCTTATGCATCACCTTTCCCACACTAATCAGTCATAAAAGCATAACATTAAAAATTTATATGGAGAACGGGGATCACAGCCCACCTGATTTTTTTTTTAATTTTTGATCGTTTTTGCTTTTAATAAACAAGTTACAGGGCAATCATCATGTTAGGAGATAACAGACACTAGAGTGCAAGCTTTTCATTTGAATAATAGACTATTTAGATGTGTGTCTAAATCTACCTCTCTTCTGAAAAGCAATCTGTGTTAAGTTGTTAGAATATCCGCTATTGAGACAATATAGCTGACCTATTATGCTGTTGTTTGTTCCTGCTTGTACCATAATTCTGATAGTTTACTTGTGTACCTGCTATATTTGGTTCTTCTATTACCATGTGTTTATTACACTTTGTGTATTTTCTACTGTATCATCCTTGGCTACTTGGTCAGAAAAACATATATAAATAAAAGGAATTACAAAAAAAAAATGTTACAATGTGTGTGAAGCCTATTGCAGCTTACGGTGGTGGTGGGGGGCATTGCATTTTACCACCCCTATTTGCACATCTAAATGAGGCCTTTAAATATTCTCGCAGCTAACTGTACTTTGTTTTTGGAAACATAAAAAGTCTAGTCTTCAGAGGACCATCCAAGCCAGCCAGATTGAACTTTGAGCTCATCTCTACTCCTCGTGCAGTTAATTCCTCTGATAAATTGTTTGAGTGTACTGTATATAGGCTCAAAACTTTTGTTTTACATTGGAGTTTTAACACTTCCCTTTTTTTGATGCTTGCATCTCACTGGGGATATTACTCTTTATTTATTGTTCTGGAAACACAACAGGAAATGAAAGGAAATCTCTCCAAAATTAACAGAATTCCCATGCTAAATTGTAGTCACAGGAACAGATCACCCCAGTGGGGGATTTTCCCTCACCTCCTGCTCTAGTGACAAAGTGTAAAGCCAATATTTTGTTAAAATAACAAATATCATACTTACTTGCTCTGTGCAATGGTTTTGCACAGAGAAGCCCTGATCCTCCTCTTCCCCTGCCAGAGTTCCTAGCTCCTCTGCCCCGCCAACTGCCCACCATAAGCAAGTCGCTTACTCTGAAGCCGGCTCTGTGTGTCCATAGACGCACACATAGCATGGCTCAGGCCCACCCCCTGCTCCATACCTGCTAGCTGTGATTGATAGCAGTGACAGCCAATGGCTCCCACTGCTGTCTCTGAGATTATGAGAATGGAGAGAGCAGAGAGAGAGAGAGCCTCTGCTCTCATGCACATTGCTGGATCAAGATCAGACTCAGATAAGTATAAGGGGGGCTTGCACACAAAATATTTTTTTTTTAGCTCACCTGCCTTTTCAACCACTTTAAAATATGTGTATTTTCCCTCACTTTCACTGCGTCAGTGACAACAGTCAGCAGCACAAATAAAGAGAGTAAATCTTCCCAGAAAGAACACATCCAATAAAAAAAACAACAGGGGGTCTACTTCTTTGCTGCTCTATCCAAAATTGTACAAATTGTCTTACATACATTTTAATTTTGATGGCCATTTTATATAACAGTTAAAGTGATTTTGTCATGAGAACAGGATAAAGTGGTCAAGCATGTACAGAAATCTGATAGTTGTCCCAAACAGATAAAGAGAAACCAGGTAGACTGGGAAGATTCAATAGAATGTTGTCACAACCGAAGCAAAATTACAACTTATATTTTATCAACCATAACATCTCATTTTTAAACATTTTTCCATTTATTTAAGCTTGCTAAGTAGCATTGACATATTCCGAAAAGCTTATAAAACATTAAACCACTCAACACAAAAGATAGCCGTCTAATGAAGTGACCACAGTAATAAATACATACACGCATAAATGCTGCATTTAATCATTTAACAATGGTAGATTCAATACACATAGTTAAAGCCAGGGATGAACCACAACTCTGAAACACTGGAGCACCTTCTACAGTACTTACAAAACAGCTCATAAGTTCTCAAATATAATAATTCAGTTCTCTTTCAGAAAAGATTGAAGAGTGGAGCTAAAACCATCTTTGTCACAAAATGAAAGTGGCTGATTAATTACCATCTCCGTGAGTTTTATAAAAAGAGAATACTATCACTAAACTTTTACTTCAACAAAACACAGAAAAAATCACGAGGAAAATTGTGCATTTCTCTAATTCTGGAACTGTTTTAACTAGCTTACAAACACAACAGCAGATCTGATGATTATACACTGAGGCACTTATTGCACCAGCCGAAGTGTATGAAATGGACAGTTTCCACTTGCATCATAATAGATTTATTATTCTACAGAGTTTAGGGCTTAGTTTGCACAGTCACAGAGATGGATAAAGCTTATGGTGCAACATAGTCACCAGTAAAATAGCAATCATCTTCTTATTTTAATTTTAATTTCAAAGCCCTCTAGACTTCCAGCCTACGTTTGGTCTGGGCCCATCTAAACTATCTTAACCACTTGCCTACAGGGTACACCCCCTTCCTGCCCAGGCCAAGTTTCAGCTTTCAGCGCTGTCACAATTTGAATGACAATTGCGCGGTCATGCAACACTGTACCTATATGAAATTTTTACCATTTTTTTTTGAGACAGATAGAGCTTTATTTTGGTGGTTCTTAATCACCTCTGGGTTTTTTATTTTTTGCTAAACAGACCAAAAACAACTGAAAATTTTGAAAAAAAAAAAAAAATTCAAAAAAAAAAAAAAAAAAAAAATCGTTTTTTCTTAGTTTTTGTTATAAAATTTTGTAAATAAGTGATTTTCTCCTTCACAGATGTGCGCTAATGAGGCTGCAGTGATGGGCACTGATAGGTGGCACTGATGAGGAGGCACTAGTAGGTGGCACTAATGGGCATTGACAGGCATCACTGATGGGCACTGAAAGGCAGCACTCATATATGGCATTGATAGGCGGCACCGATAGGTGGCACTGACGGGAACTGATAGGTGGCACTAATAGGTGGCACTGACTGGCATTGATAGGTGACACTGAAAGGCAGCTCAGATGAGCACTGATATGTGGCATTGATGTGCACTGGCAGGTGGCATTGATGAGCACTGGCAGGTGACACTGATGGACACTGACAGGTGGCACTGCTGGGGTTACACTGATCATCAGGGAACACTGATCATCAGTGCCCTGATGATCAGTGTACATATCCCCTCCGAGGAATGCCGATTACCGGCTCTCCTCTCGAGCTGTCAGCGGGACAGCTCGTGAGGAGAGAAATGCCGATAACCGGCATTTCCCTATTTACATGCGATCAGCTGTGATTGGATACAGCTGATCACATGACCGAGCCGACATCTTTGGCTCTTTCCATTGATCGGTGATCCACTGTGTCCCTTGGCACCGATCGCCACGCTGCACGCTTCCAGAACCGCACATGCATCCTCCCAGAACGAGAGAACCACCTTGCACCTGTCATTACCTTATATGGCGGGTGGGAGGCGGTTAAGGCAGCCAAACATGGATGAAAATTCAGCTGGTTCAGAAGGCACAAGACAAATTTCGATCCATGGATCCATGGCAGGCTGGATGTAGAAAAGTCAATCTCTCGATCAACTTGTGTACAACTAGTCCACTGGAAAATTCTCTCGGCTGGCACCAGAAACTATTGCAAGTGGTGCTATTCAGTGTATTCTGACTGTGGGGAAGTCTCCTGCTCTCAGAATAAAATAATGCGGATTCCTCTATCCACATCTAGTGTGTGGATAGGGGGAATTAAGTAATTTTCTTTTTTCGTTCAATCTACTGGTTGAACTAAAAAAAAAATATTAATACATGCCAGCCTTAAGCTGCATATCCTATTCTAAAGCAAACACTTTTGGGTTTATTTACTAAAGCTGGTGCAGCCAAAATCTGGTGCAGCTGTGCATGGTAGCCAATCAGCTTTTAACCTCAGCTTGTTCAATTAAGCTTTAGCAATAAAACCTGGAAGCTGATTGGTTTCTATGCAGAAGTTCACCAGATTCTGATTGAACACCAGCTTTAGTAAATAAATCCCTTTAGCCTTAAATGGAGGGGTGTCACTAGTACTGAGCACCCAAAGCACATTTCCCCCCATGGGAAGAGCTGTAAAACTCCCCCTTGATTCTGTGTTACTGGCCTGACAAGCAGAGTTGCCAATGAAGAGTAGCAAAGCAGCAAGTCAGTGTGTTGTGCAAACTGCACTATATGGGAAAAAAGCCAGTGACCATATAGAGCTATTCTGGCTGCGGCTGCTCTTGGGACCTTTCGGTGGTGAGCCTTGGACAGGGAAGGGGGTTGGGGTGTGCTGAGGTTGACAGCTGTAGATGGCAAAGTGCTGGGAGCACAAGTGAGAGCTGTGGAAGTGGGTTGGGTTCAGAGAGCTGTGGAAGTTGGGAAGGGTTGCAAATGTGAGAGCTGTAAATGGGGGTGGGGGCTGGGTGCACAGACAAGGCACACAGAAAGGTTATAGGTATATACACTGATCAGCCATAACTTTATGACCATCCACCTAATATTAGGTAGGTCCCCCTTGCTGACAAAACAGCTGTGACCCATTGAGGCATGGGTGCCACTAGACCGCTGATGATATGCTGTGGTGTGTGGCACCAAGCCCTCAACAGAAGAGCCTTTAAGTCCTGTAAGTTGCAAGGTGGGGCCACCATGGTTCAGACTTGTTTGTCAGCACACCCTTGAGATGATCGATTGGATAGAAATCTGGAGATTTTGGAGTCCAAGTCAACACTCAAACTCTCTTTTATTCCTCAAATCATTCTTGAACCATTTTTTCAGTGTGGCAGGACACATTATCCTACTGAAAGAGACCACTGCCATCAGGGAATACCGTTTTCATGAAGTGGTGTATGTGACCAGCAGCAATATTTAGGTAGGTGGTACATTTGAAGAAACATGCACATGAATGGCAGGACACAAGGTTTCCCTGCAGAATATTGCCAGAATATCACACTGCCTCTACTGGCTTGCATTCTTCTCATACTACATCCTGGTACTAACTCTTTCCCAAGTAATAGAGACACACACCTGCCCATCCACAAGATGTAAAAACGTGATTCACCAGACCAGGTCACCTTCTTCCATTGCACCATGGTCCAGTTCTTATGCTTATGTGCTCACTGTAGGCTCTTTTGTCTGTGGGCACAGGTTAGCATGGGCCCCCTGACCAGTCTGTGACTATGCAGCCTCATATACAACAAACTGTGATGCCCATTTTTTTCTGTTTGCAACACATCAACTTCAGTGACAACATGTTTACTTACTGCCTTATATATCCTACAGACTTTCAGATGCCATTGTAACATGATAATCAGTGTTATTCACTTTACCTGTCAGTGGTCATAAATGTATGGCTAATTGGTGTACATTATATTGCCAAAAGTGTTGGGATACCCCTCCAAATCATTGGATTCAGGTGTTCCAATCACTTTTTTATGGCCACAGGTGTAGAAAATCAAGCACCTAGGCATGCAGACCGCTTCTACAAACATTTGTGAAAGAATGAGTCGCTCTCAGGAGCTCAGTGAATTCAAGCATGGTACAGTCATAGGTTGTCACCTGTGCAATAAATCCATCTGTGAAATTTCCTTGCTACTAAATATTCAACGGTCAACTGTTAGTGGTATTATAACAAAGTGGAAGCAACTGGGAGTAACAGCAACTAAGCCACGAAGTGGTAGGTCACGTAAAATGATAGGGGGGGGTCAGTGCATGCTGAAGCACACAGACGTCACCGACTGTCTGTAGAGTCAATAGCTTAAGACCTCAAAACTTCATGTGGTCTTCAGATTAGCACAACAGTGTGTAGAGAGCTTCATTGAATGGGTTTCCATGGCCGAGCAGCTGCATCCAAGCCTTACATCACCAAGTGGTATGCAAAGCGTTGGATGCAGTAATGTAAAGCATGATGCTACTGGACTCTAGAGCAGTGGAGAAGTGTTCTCTGGATTGCCGAATCACGCTTCTCTGTCTGGAAATATGATGGATGTGTCTGGGTTTGGTGGTTGCCAGGAGAATGATACTTGCCTGACTGCATTATGGCAAGTATAAAGTTTGGTGGAGGGGGGATTATAGTGTGGGGTTGTTTTTCAGGGGTTGGGCTTGGCCCCTTAGTTCCAGTGAAGGTAACTGTTAAGGCATCAGCATACCAAGGCATTTTGGACAATTTCATGCTCCCAACTTTTTGGGAACAGTTTGGAGATGGCCACTTATTGTTCCAACATGACTGCGCACCAGTGCACAAAGCAAGGTCCATAAAGACATGGATGAGTGAGTTTGGGGTGGAGGAATTTGACTGGCCTGCATAGAGTCCTGATCTCAACCCAATATAACACCTTTGGGATGAATTAGAGCGGAGACTGCGAGCCAGGCCTTCTTATCCGACATCAGTGCCTGATCTCACAAATGTGCTTCTGGAAGAATGGTCAAACATTCCCATAGACACACTCCTAAACCTTGTGGACAGCCTTCCTAGAAGAGTTGAGGCTGTTATAGCTGCAAAGGGTGGACCAACTCAATATTGAACCCTACAGATTAAGACTGGGATGCCATTAAAGTTCATGTGCCTCTAAAGTCAGGCATTCCAATACTTTTGGTGATATAGTGTATATGTGTATGGACATTAAATAAATGTCATGGACATATAAATGTCATATGTACTGTATACAATCCATATATACACTTGTATGTACATGCAATGGTGTCCACAATGCTGAGAAATACAGGCAAATATGTATCCATCATGCCATACCATCAGGGAGGTGTATGATTGGCCCCAAATTTATTCTGCAGCAGGACAACATCCCCAAGGATACAGCCGATGTCATTAAGAACTATCTTCAATGAAAGGAAGGATGAGGAGTCCTGGAAGTGATGATTTGGCTACCAAAGGGCCTTGATCTCAACATCGCATCTGTCTGGCATTACATAAAGAGGGGTTTGAGGCACCCTACATCCATAGAAGATGTGGTTATTTCTCCAACATGTTTGGAACCACCTACCTGCTGAGTTCCTTCAAAAACTGTGTGCAAGTGTACCTAGAGGAATTGGAGAATTGAAAGCAAATATTGATTTGATTTAGATTTTTCTTTCGTTCGTTTACTTTCCATTTGGTTAATTGATAAAAATAAATTATAAACACTTCTATTTCTTAAAGAATTCTTAATTTTCAGCATTTTTTCACACCTGCCTAAAACTTTTGCACAGTACTATACATACACATAACCTTCCTCGGAGTGCAGACCACACAACCACATCACTTCAGGCATATAACAGCATGGACCAGAGATGAGCAAACTTCTGAAAATTCATCAAATCAACTGTGGTTCAACCTAACTTTTTAAAAATTTGAAAACAACAGAAATGACAAATCTCCACACCCAAAGTCCTACTGAAGTCAATGGAAATCTGAGCCAGACTCCTACAAGACTGTACAGCCATCCTCCCAGAAGCCTTTTGAGGAACTGTCGAAAATAGCACTGATATTCTGATTCAGCTTTCGACATCAGGATTCATGAAACTCAGGTCCAAATCTAAAATGCTACAAAACTTTTACTGGTTAGTAGTTAAGGAAAACTCAGTATTTTGCCCTTGGTGTGCAATGATAACACACTCTTATTTCCAGAAACGGTATGCTTCAAATGTCTGACCATTTATAACTACTATATTAAGATCATGTTCAATGCCAAAGAAGCGCAATGTCAGGCTTAGATAATGCATTAGAGCTAAAAGCACTAAGGATGTACAAAACAGCCCACAAAAGCCAGTCAGGCTGCCATTTTCACCAATTTAGAAAGGTGACAATAATGAAAATGCACTGTTGGTTGCTATGGTCACTAGAGGTGAAATACGCTTTGCTTTATTAAACAAGTTTGAGTTACTTTAAATTGGTTGTCATAATGAAATCTATCTATCCAGATGTCTACATACTGTAAATATCAACACAAAATCCAATAATTCTATACCTATATTTAAGTCACACAGCTGAGATACTGTATTGAAGTCAATAAAAAGACATTTTGAAAAATCCTATCCATTGTGGGTCAGAAAAGTCACTCATTCTTTATGAACTAGACAAGAGAATTGTAGCTTTGCTGAAGTCAACATGACTGCTGCTTGAGTTAAATTATGTATAGTATGTCTCCAGGAAGATTGTTCAATGCATCTAGTATGGTTCTAAGCCATGTTTTAGTCTGTATTCAAAAAAGGTCATTACCTAAAGTGCTAAAGCATTCAATCATTCTGTCCTGAAAATTTACTGCCTAGCACTGTAAATAACATGCATTGAAGCAGGAAATACTGCAAGAATGGAATCATTTGACATACACAACTCCTGCTACTGTCAACTAGATAGACAATTGCTCCTTTAAAGATAGTGAGATATGTTGCTTTATAAGCCAAATAAATGATATCTTTCACAGCAAGAAGTAAATTGGACACAGAAGCTTGTCACCTAAATGTTGGTGCCGTAAAAGACTGTTCCCAAGTATTTGTACTTTATAAGTCTCTGATCTGACTTAAAGCCGAGCTCCAGTCAAAGCAAAAAAAAAGGCAGCAGCTACAAAAACTGTAGTTGCTAACTTTAAAAAAAAAACAACCAGTCACCTGTCCCACGATCCAGCGGTATACTCACTGGCCATCCTTGCTCCCCAGTGCTGGCATCTTAAGTGTGGGCACCCAGCTGTGACATGCCCATTGCACATGCGTGAGTAGCGCTACACCTTGTGAATGGTTGCGTAATCTTCTGGGGCCTGTCACATGTCCCAGAAGACTACAGGAGGGGGGAGGACAACTTCCGCTTCCGATCCCCTAGGCGATCGCAGCGAAAGTGGGAGCAGGTACCTGTCAAAACCCCCTCCCCCCAGGTGCCAATTCCTCATGGGGAGCGAGGGACCAGTACTTAAAGCGGAACTTCCCCTTTTGGGTGGAGCACTGCTTTAAGTTGCACTTTAGTATGCTATGTTCCTGGCTTCCTGAGAGCCATGCAGTGGGCAGATGGGTTAACCTTTATACTGCTCAGGTTTGTAAGAGGGGTATAACCTAAATGGTATGTTGTACAAGTCATGGTCTGTCCATAACTAACACCATGCTTGAACAAAAGGATACTCACACATGAAGAAGCAAGGGACTTCGTAAAAATCTGTTCACAGCTAAACTGAGGTCACAGATGGCTCAACTGAGTAAAACAGGGGTAGGCAACTTTAAAGAGGTGGAGATCTACCTGAACAACATGGGAGAAGTCAAAGATCTCCAGACACATTGTCGGCCACTGTCGCCTCCTCACACCTGACCTAAACCTCAAATTGCCATACTACTGAGTCACAATCGTGTGCTTTGCACAGCAATGATGGGTTTAAATCAGGTGGTGAGGAGGCAACATATCGCCTCCACACCACCTGTCAAACACACTTGGATCACTTTGCAGAGGAGCAGTAGTGTTTGCTGCATTTGTGAATGAGTCTTTAGTTGCATCCGTCAGCGGCACTCTTAGGGCTCCTTCACATGTAAAGTTCGGGGGTGGTAAAACCCTACAGTTCAGTCGAGGCTTTACCGCCCCCAATCCCTACCCCCCTTTAGCTGCTGAGGCAGCAGCCAAAAGTATACACATGGCACAGCAGGAATTACACCCCCTGTTGCTTTTGTTGGGTGCTACCACCTGTAAGTTGAGTAAATGAGGCCACTCTGCAAGTGACCCGCAACTGCATGCTTCTGTGGGGTCCAAGGGGTTAAAGCAGGTGATGAGAAAGCAACACACCACTTCTTGTTTAACCCCTTGTTTACTGTACTGCACAAGGTTGCAGGGCACTTGCAGAGTGGCCTCACTCACTAAAATGGGTCATGCTTGGCAGGTGCTGCACCCACCAACCATGACGGTGTAGGACCCAGCACTACAGAGGAGACATCAACTTATGCAGGTCTTGCTCCCTACCACAGCTCCAACTTTACAAGTAGTCCCTCTGCATTGCACTCTGTTTGATACTCTGAGATGGCGGGTCACCAAGCCCTGGCCATGATCTACCAGTCGCCTGGCGGAGATCTACTGGCAGATCACGAGCTACTGGTTGCTGACCCCCGAGTAAAATATTTTGAGTTGTTGAAATTACTCTTCATCCCCATCTATGGACAGTTTATGGCACTATAATACTGCACACCTGACCCTCATTAATCTTGTATAAAGGTAACTCTCCCCCCTGTCCTGATTAACAAGTTGTGTCCTTTGAGGAAGAAGGTAGCAGTGTCAGGCTAGGATTTTACAGGAAAAGTTGAGATTGGTCTTCAGCTGCCTATATATCTAGAGATCAATTTGACATGCATTTTAACTAACACATGTATGCATTGTTTCATGATAATAACTCTGTTTGATCCAGCCAGGTTTGTTAGAATTTTATTTTAAGCCAGAACAGGAAAAGTATGACCAACTCTTAAATA